AGAACTCTGAGGTTGTCACCAAAATGGCACCCACCTGTCAAGTTACCCTCCCCTTCATGTGGCTCATCTTTTTTCATAACTGGCCAGTGTACTTCCCCACCCCTTTTCCACATTATTGACTACAACTAGCAGGGCAGATTTATCAGGGCAGGGAGCAAGCTGTATTAGAAGTCCAGTGTGTCTTGCAACATTGAATTAGGTCATAAGATGTACAGACAGCAACTTCATTCTTTTCCACTGGACAGCACAGATGGCAATAAATCTATTGGAGTCCTGTTTCTGGGCTGTCTTATAATGAATGACACACATACACATTTTAAAGGAGCTGATCATTTTTTACGAATGTCTATGCACGATGAAAAAGGCTAATGTGGTTATAAATAATAGATATTTAATTCAAGGGAAAATATGCCCAGTTGATTTGGACCTAGAATTGTAAAGTTTAGAGGTGTGAAGAAGAAAAGGGGAACATCAAGCATGAAGAAGGGATCAAATCTATTGAGGTTCCAGCACACTTTGTGCATTTTCGCTGCTATTGTAGTTACCCAAAAATGCAGACATTAGTTTTTGCATATCAAACACTAGACATGCGAAACCTGTAAAAGATATACAAAATATAATTATTGCCAAAGCTATATAATTTCAAACCTTCAAAATAAAACACAAATGCTTTTGTGTTTCTGCATGGATATAGGCATATAATTCCTAGTGCCAACACTAGTACCAAGTTTCTCTCTTCTAAAATGCAGACTTTTATACTTTCTATTCCAACACATGCACCTACAAACATATGAACATGCATGAAGCATTTCTTCCTGCTGTTTGCGGGAATAGTCAGAATATACATGATTTCACATTAATTAAATTCAAAAGAAACATTAACTGATTGGGGAAATGATTATGTCATTCAAAGGAAAAACTGCTATGAGCTATAAAATTATACACATATAAAAATATACACATTGTGATGGGGAGAAAGACATCCTTATCTAGCTAATAAAAACACTGAAGACTGGAACAATGATCTAAGAGGATATTACTGTCAACCAACATACAATTGCATAGAACTGGTTGTGTTCAGAAATGTGGAAAAGAGAATCCACATGAGGTATGAAGGTTTCACAACACCACTGAATCTCTTCCTGAAATCTCTTGCCACCAGTTCAAGAGAGTTCATTCAAAGCTGTCCTTCGTACAGCAGGGGGTGCTGAAGGTGACCGGGAGGCCCATCTGGAAGGTAAGCGTCTATTTGCTGGTCGAGCTGGCCGAGAGAAGCCTTTTCCATTTGACTGTTTGGCTGGTACAGATACCTACAATACAAATCAGGCTTCTTGACTGAAGAACTCAGCACAAAAACTCCCCTGGAAAAAAGTACTCATGGCATTTCAAGAGAATGGCATCATGTATGCTGGTCTGCCTCCAAACAGGTGGCCATGGGTTATTAAACACCCCCCCCCAATGTTATTTACTATTTACATAGCAATGTAAAGATGTAATGAGAAAAATATCACTCTTCTGTGTGCTAAAGAAATGTGTGGCATGTAAATAAAACACAAAATGCCTGAGAGGCTTTATTTAGAGTTTAAAATGGTCTCAAAGCAGGATATTTATTTATTCAACTGGCCGCAGAGTAAACTGTTTGCTTGATGGATCTGTTAAACCACTGGTTCTTAACCTTTGCTACTCAGATGTTTTTAAACTGCAACTCCCAGAAACCCCAGCCAGCACAGTTGGTGGTGAAGACTTCTGGGAGTTGCAGTCCAAAACTCCTGAGTAACCCAAGGTTAAGAACCAGTGTGATAACTCACCTGTTAGCAAGAGCTTTCCTGCCCCCAAAGGTAAAGAAACATTTTGCAAGTTGCAAAGAGCCACAATTCTGCTCATGGCCTGAATTCAGGTAGGTGGCTCAAGACCGACTCAGCTATCCATCATTACAGATCAGTAATTTGAGTACCCAGTATTTGAGTACAATGTGTGGCCTGCATTGGCTCAAGACCGACTCAGCTATCCATCATTCCAGGTCAGTAATTTGAGTACCCAGCTTGCTAGGGTGTGTGTACAATGTGTGGCCTGCATTATTAAATTGTAAACCACCCAGAGAGTGCTTTAAACAGTACACAAGCAACACACTTTGCTTTTGCTAGAGAACTGAGCGAGAAACACTCCAAGCAGCCACGTCATTGCCCAACCAGTTTAAATGAGGATGGACCCAACCAAGCTATATAATTAGGCACAGAGTTACAGGTGGCAGAAACTCTAATGAAAAAAAGTTATGTTTTAAGACTACAGTTCCTGTAATCCACCTCTGGGAGCTGTAGTACAAAAATGTTAACTTCTCCAAGTTTTTAGCGCTGCATCGCCCTCAAATTAACCCTATTTTAAGACTACAGTTCCTGTAATCCACCTCTGGGAGGTGTAGTTAACTTCTCCATGTTTTTAGCGCTACATCGCCCTCAAATTAACCTATTTCAATGTGATCAGTTTAGACAACACTTATTGAACATCTGGAATTAATCAGACTTTAAGTTTGTTTACAGAAAATCTTAATATTGCTTTTCTGTGCTTATACACCACTCAGGGCAGCCTACAGTTCCTGTAATCCACCTCTGGGAGGTGTAGTTAACTTCTCCATGTTTTTAGCGCTACATCGCCCTCAAATTAACCTATTTCAATGTGATCAGTTTAGACAACACTTATTGAACATCTGGAATTAATCAGACTTTAAGTTTGTTTACAGAAAATCTTAATATTGCTTTTCTGTGCTTATACACCACTCAGGGCAGCTAGCAACTGATAAACTAATGATAAAATATAAAATGTGTGTCAGTTCTTAAGTTTAAATCCAACTGTTCAACCAAACTAGAGTGGAACCATGGAATAAATGGAATAAATTATTTACAAGTGTTGACCGACAAACTCTGCAACAATTCAGTGGATCTACAGTGGTGCCTTGCTTAACGAGTGCACCGTATAATGACGAATTCGCATAGTGATCCGTGTTTTTTTTGATCGCTAATGCGAAGGCATACCGACGGTTCCAATGGGCAAAACTCGCATTGCAATGTCGGGAAATCAGCTGTTTGGCGGTTCCAAAATGGCCGCCGGACAACCCAAAATGGCCACGCGCAGCATTTTCGCGCCCTGCCCTCGCTTACCGAGGGCGCGAAAATGGCTGCCGCTATGGGGAAACATCACAGAACAGTGAGTTTTGTGCCCATTTGGTTCCAATGGGTTTCCCCATTCAGTATATCGATGTTTCCCCATAGCGAAGGTTAATCCTGAACGGATTAACCTTGCTATGCGGGGCACCACTGTACTGAAATGAGGAATAACAATCAAATGTAAACGTTCCCAAGGATTGCACTCCTAATAATGCCATGGGAAGTGTCACAGAATTTTGATGCCTCATAGCCACTCGGTTTTGCTGTGACCCTTCCTTTAACTTACAAAAGTGGCTGCTGGTGAGAAAGACTCATGGAAACCACTGCTGTAGGACTGCTGGCTTCAGCCACAGGGTCCTACAATAATCATGTCTAGGAATCCTTTCTTAATCATGCTTTTATCATCATAGAAGTTTCCAGGAGTCAAATTCAGTAATATATCCCTTCTTAATCTTAACAAAGTACAGACACATAGCCAAAACAAGCCTTCTGGGGCCCCAAACAGATCAATTTCTGATTAGTTTAGCCTCTGGAGAGGTTGGATCCAATCCGAAATGCATTTGGAATTGAATGACGAGAAATCCAACACATGGACCTTCTCAAATACTAGAATGCATTTCTTCAGGATATGCACTCCTTCTTCTTGTTTTTCTCCCAGCAGAGGTGGGGAGAGTCACTGTGGCTATATTGGCTGAAAGCTGGATGTTCCCTATACCAGCCCCTTGCTTCGGAGATATTTGACAAAAGCTATGTCTACACAGTGGGAGAATCTATGCATAAGTGGAGTCCCTAATTGTGTAGCTGGAGTATTCTTGTTGTTGTTCCTTTCCTATTAATTACTGGACATCACCATAGCTATTCAGATGCAGCAGCTCTAAATACAGTGGTGCCTCGCTTAACGACGATAATCCGTTCCAGGAAAATCACTAAGTGAAAACATCATAAAGCGAAATTTAAAAACCCATTGAAACGCATTAAAAACCGTTCAATGCGTTCCAATGGGCTAAAAACTCACTGCCCAGCGAAGATCCTCCATATGGTGGCCATTTTCGGTGCCTGTATAGCGAGGAATCTGTCCCTAAGCACAGCGGGGGGCCATTTTAAGCACCCAGTGGCCATTCTGAAAACCCGACGATCAACTGTTTTTGATCATGTAAAGCGAAAATTGATTCCCGAAGCAGAGAACCGATCATCGCTAAGCGAAATTCCCCCATTTAGACCATCATTTTGCAATCACAATTGCGCTTGCAAAAACACTGTCGTAAAGCGGATTCGTCGTAATGCGGGGTAATAGTTAAGCGGGGCACAACTGTAACAATGTTGTAAACATACTGAGGAATGCCTGAATAAGACTGCCTGAGTATAACTTATTAGTGCAACCAGGGCTAAATGTTACCTTCTAAACAGGAATGCTATTCCTCTTGCCTTTTCTCAGGCTGAAGGAAAAGAAAAATATAATAATGGTCTCTTTGTTTCCCCTGAGCAGAAGCATTCAGGGGAAATGAGCATGGTCCTTTTCTGAACAGCCACCAACTTCTAGGTTCAAATGCTTAAAAAAATGGCAGGGAGCAGCTGGTCAGGTAGGAAAGCATGTGATAGGAGATTACACCCAGTCTATTCCCTCCTCTATTGCCAGGCCCATAATGTGCCACTGCCTCAGATACGGTCATTTGGTTTGATTGGATTTTAGGTCCCCATATGGAGGCTCCCCAACTGTGTCATTGGAATACTTGAAGACCAGTGACTGTATTTGCTGCCTCAACCATATTAGAAAAAAGTGAGATGAAAATGTAATCAATGACAATAAGTGGATCAACTTCTTGTTAAATTTATACATACCTCTGGAAGTTTCTGCTTCTCTTTACCACATCTGGCATAAAGTCCAATGTGTCTGACCAAATTCTTTTGCTGCTCTGGCTTTCCTTGGTCCGTCTGGTGCAGTTCAAAACCGTGTTCCAGGTTTTCACAGTCACCATCAGCAAACTCACATCTGGATTGCACCCATTGCTCCTGCTGGAACTTTGAGTTCCACAAAGAGGCTGATCGCTCATAGTTCTTCAGGAGTTTTTCAACCACACCATAATTCGACCTTGAGTCAGCTGATCGTGGGCGACCAGACAAATTACTTGGCCTCCAGCGATGCTCATGGAGCATATGACGGTAGCCACTTAGAAGTCCATTTAGTTGCTTTGGCTGTTCTGGGCCTTTGACATTTTTGCCAGGTTTGCCAGATTTTTCTTCACTTCTTAGGGATAGCCTGGAATTCGGAACGCATGCTGACTCGTCACTTTGTCCTCTGCTGGTCATACTGTCCTGTAGTATGCAATGAGATTTAGGCTCTGCAGATGGTACGGGCTGCACTTGGTTCTGCTGCCGACATTTTGGGGCTTTATCTGTTTGGAACACAGTTCTGTTGAACTCATCAATTTTTGCTTCTAAGGTTTCATTTCGTTGAGTCTTCCCAGTTCCGTATCCAGAGTCACCCAGTGTGTCACACACAGGACCATAAAAGTCACAGTTTTGTAATTTGGGATGATGTTTTTGAGGTATCATATTTCCATCAGAGCAGCTCTTCTGGACAGAATGTGGTGAAGAACCATTCTTAAGACAATTCTCAACCTTGTTTACATCACAAGTCCATGTGTTGTTACAAAATCCTGCCAGAGGCTTGCCTTCAAGGGACAGACCCCTTTCTTCTGTGGGCACAGTGGTTGGTGTGGCAGGCCTGTTGGCAAGGCCAACAGACACTGGAACATCACATTGCTTTGCAAAAGACAGATGAATAAATGTATTTCCATCCCAACACTCTGGAGCCATAGAACTGCTTTTCGGCCCTGTATCTTTAGCAAACACTTCAGAAACATGTGCCAGGGAGCTGGTCAAATGCCGAGAAGTGCTTCGTGGGGGAACAGGAGGGGCTTCTCTTGCTTGCCAGGGCAAAAGGCCTGCTTTCTCAACCCCAACAAGAGCATTAAATGGCATCTCCTTCAAATCCCTGCTGGCACCCATCAAATTCTTCCTGTTATTGTGTTGCTCTGTTTCAGATGCAATTGAAGCTAGCTGTGGGTCATTGTTCTGCAGACAGTTCACCTCTCGCATGGTAATCAATGCATTTTCAGTTTCCAAAGATTCACCCGATTGCTTCTTTCTGAATACACGGAAAAACATTTGCAGAGCTAAGATTTTTTTCCTAACATTTTCTACTCTAGCACTTTGCAACACTGGAGAACTTTGAGGCCTACTATTTTTGAAATTTTAGTTCTATTTTATTTACTGATCAGAGCAGACTCACACTTTTATAAATCCCCATGATTTCCTGGTGTATCATTATTCAAGTCAGCAACCCTCCTAGAATCTACTCTTTTGGGCCTGCCTTGTAAACATTGGATCAGCAGAATGAAACAAAGCTATTATGAGTTCAAGCCTCTCACCACCCTATTTTGGACAGTATAAACCAGAACCTGGGACATTCCAGATATACTCGACTGCAACACTCATCATCTCTAACCATTGTCCCCAGAAGCCCATCATCCCTGGAAGATGCCAGATAGGGGAAGGCTGGTTTTACAGGATCTATACTAGGGTTTCACGAACATCCCTCAAGAACAATAGCTAGCCCAGACAATGTTTTATTTATGTTTCTTACAAAACATGTTGTGGAGAGCAAGGAATTATCATCAAGATGGTTGCAAAGTTTGGTGGACTACTGTATTCTACACCAGTGTTTTTGCCATCTAAGGAAAGTGGATCGCTTTAGGTTCTACTGGAAGCAACAGAACCGCAGCTAATGGCTGTAAAGGGCATTTAAGCATGACCAGCTTTCCCTGGACTGCTGCCAAAGAGAAAAAGGAAGGGAGGGGGACCGTACTGTCTTTCCCCTTTGGCTGCATAGGCAGCTGAAGCTGACACTGCCCATGAAGTATGTAATGCTTTTTACAACATTTTAAAAGCCGCCAGAGAAAGAACTTTTAAGAGTGGATCGCTTGAAAATATTACAATTAAGGCACAGTTTCATTTCTGCTTCTGAGATGAAAGAATTCTCAGCTGTTTTAAATAAATTGAGGGTTTAACCAGAGCCTGAGCTGATGTTTATATCATAACCAAAGCTAATATGTGTCATGGGCAAATTTAGTACAGATGCAATTATTTGCACTCACTTGCATTGTATACTGTGAGCCTAGACCCTGTGATGACATTAGGATTACAAAACACCAGTTCAGGCCCCCAAATAACAATGTGATAGGAGCAGTTCCCCCTTTTCATACAAGAGGCTTCATTTATTTGTTTGTCTGTCTGTCTTCTGTATAGATAACGCAATAAAGGGACTCAAGGCGGCTTGAGGTTTGTCACACCAACCATTTTCATGTCCTCAGAATGCCTTTAGACATGTCTTGGGCACCTCCACTTTCCTCTTAGCCTTACCAAGAAGATGTTGCAGTGCCGGCATCCTTACATTTCTGCAAAAGTGGTGACCAGAGGTATGGACAACCACTGTTTAAAAAGTATTTCAGGAAGATCAAAAACAGATGACCCTTTTTGTTTCCTTTCTATCACTTGGTGGTGGAAGCGGCAGACAAGCAGGGCAAGAGGAAGACAACTCCTGGACAGCCAGGAGGAGGGTGGTGGTGGTGAGAGTGGGGAAGAAAGATTTTTTGGGGAGGGAGGGAAACACCCATACGGTGCAGTGAGGGAAGCAGAGAGCATCTTGACCCTTAACTTGGCAGTGCCAGTGTATGTAAACCCTAGTTATTAAAACTGTGCTGTTTGTGACTTTCTATTCTATTTTATTTTAGTAAAGGGGAGAATGGAAAATCTCCTGACCACTGGATTTTCATCAAATTGGAAATGGATTTATAGAAACAAGAACACTAAGTAATTAAGGAATTAACACTTCATGGCTATACTAATGTTGAGCCTTTTTCCAGATTCCCTTCAACTTTTCTTAGTTACTTTTTATTTTAATTTTATTTTTTTAGGATTCTTTGTTCTGCATGAATCTATGAAATAAAATCTTACCGTCTGTGATCAGATTTCTTGCGAATTTCTTCTTGGTAGGAGCACAAGTCTTCACTCACTTTGGCAAGTTCTTTAAGAGCCTTTAGAAAAGCAAAATTCAGCATTTTAGTGTGGTTTCATTCCTACCACATGTCTAGAAGAGCACTGGGCACTTCTCTAAAGACAATATCTACATTCTGTATCAAAGGAAGTTGAAGAAAAGACACTACATGGAAATATCTCAGATACAGATCTGGTACAACTGTAAGAGATGATATCTCTTATTTAAATAATATTTGAAATTTATAAACTGTGTCTTTACTGTTGGACTTAAGGACACTGGGAAAAAAGTCAAGATATATATTACTGACATAAATGACTGAATGATTCATAAAGTAAGCTTGCACTCACCCCATGATGGTTATCATACCCACAAGCCAGCTGCATGAAAGCAGGTGCCGACATTCTGTCCTCACCTTCTTTCTGATAGACCCCCTCCTCTGACTGTTCCTATTTCCACCACTTCCAGAAATTGTGGTTTAAATGGTTGTCATTCACCCCCTTCCTCACATACCTGTTTGGTTAAATAGTGAGCAGGTATTCCTCTCTGAATGATGATGATGATGCCACATTTCTCCCAACAAGAGACCCAAAATGGCTCATTAATCTTGTTAAGAAAAAAACCCATAGATCTGGTTTTCCAGTACAAAGTGACTGAGACAAACCAGGGTTAATGAAAATGCAGATCCTCTTGCTAACCTTAGGCTATAATTACAAGGTGCCATGTAATGGCAAATGACGATGAATGTCATGCTGGGGACAACGTGCCACTTAATTTTTCAGCCCTTAGAATCTGGAGGGATGTTTTCATTTCAAAGGACAGGCTAATGTCCACTTATATATGTGTACTAAGCAAGTTTTCACACATCAGGTTATGCTGACCTGATCCTATTACTTCCCAACTGACTCTGACAGCCTCTGATCCACTAAATCCACAAAGACTGTGTCTATTCGGCAGAAACTAGTAAAAAATTATTGAAGCCTAGGTTAATTTTGTCTTCACTGAAACATCTGTTACAATGGTTACTCACAATATTGAGATCCTGGGTATAATTCTTGGTTGATTTTGAGTTTGGGCAGTCTTTGGATTCCTTGTAATTCTCAAAGGCAGAATAATCTTTCATGAAAGCATGATTTTTCCTCTTGTTTCTGATCTCCTTGCTTTCCTTTTCTGCCTTGGGGAGCAAATCCTCTTTGTCCAGTGCACAAGAGTTCAGTCCTCGTCTGTCACCCCATTCTGAACTGGGGGAGTGAGATTGCTGTGGTGCTTTAAGATGTGGAGCCTTATTCTCAAAGGCATTCATGTTACTCTCACGTCTTAATTTTACTTCCTGGTAAAGCTAGAAAAGAAACAAAAGGCCTACTATTAAATGGCAGTGGTCTTAACAAGCCCAATGAACAGAAGATGTATTTATTTTCACTCTGAACTTGTGTCACCAGACTCCCAAATCTGGAGCCATTGGTGGGCTGCAAAACATAAAGTTTATTTTTAGAAAGAGCAGTTATGCTGATGGGTACAGCATAATTTCTCCTTTCACAGGATACAAAGGAAGTAAAGCAATTGTGGCTGAGCTATGAACATAAAAGCCTACAAATGGGACAGGAGCACTAACACATGAAGCTGGTGATGTGAACTGGGTGATGGGGGCAGAAATTGGGTTATTTCCTCTCTTGTCTATCTAGATGTATATTGAAATTGCTTTATTCCTTCTTGGAAGTTTTTTCCCACTTTGTCTTGCTCCTCCATTTATGTTTATCTGAATCATAGCTATGTTGAAATTGCTTTATTCCTTCTTGGAAGTCTTTTCCCACTTTGTCTTGCTCCTCCATTCATGTTTATCTGAATCATACTGTAGCTATGGACTTGCCTCCTCCATGGAACCAGGCAATACTTTGAGCTGTGACTTACTCAAGAGTGGGTCTACGTTCTTTGAGAGTTGTTTACTCTACCAGTTCTCTGCATTGGAAGTGACCAAATGCTCCAAGCAAGTGTGTTGCAGAAAGGTGATGAAATGATCCACTTTGAGCAGAAGCAAGACCCAAACAATTAATCACACAGAAACACAATGGGCAACTTCCTCTGTGCTGGATGCTGTGTGTTTATTGGGAGAACTCTTATCTAACTAAGGTTTCTTCCTGCAACCCAGCTGTCCATGTACTCGTTTAGGATTGTGGACATACAGCACCAGAACTTGGCAAACCACATACTTTACAATGCATCCAAATATTATACCCTTTACTGAGGGTGTGCCACACCAACTTCAGGTGCCACTGACACCTGAATAGGTAGGCAATGGATTATGCTGCAAAATTTCTCCAGAGTTCCACTGTCTGGAAGAACTGTTTCATATCTACATAGTCTTGTGGCACCTTAAAGACCGCTTTATTTGACAGATGCTTCTGCAGACAGCTACCCAATGCATTAAGATGCCTGCATTTAATTAGGTGGAAGTGTAGTTGAACCTGAAAACACCCTGAGTCAACTTAATTCTCCCTATTTCCTCCCACTGAAACAGCTGAGTTCAGTGAACACTCTGTAGGGATGTGGAGAGATATGAATTAGGAGCATGTACGGATACTTCTGCACACTGAACTAAGAGAGCTTGAAAGGTGGCAAAGAGGGAGAAAAGAGACTCTGACCCTGTCATATGCAACAGAGTGGCCTCCATAGGATATGATAGTGCAGTTGCAATTCAGGAAATGCTGGCACACTCATGGATAAGCAAAATACACAAAGCAAAGAGAGAGAGAGACAACAGCCTCACCACCTCTACCAGGACCACAGCAAAGAGAAGGGTGATTTCTTTAAATCCTGCAGTTCGAAAGTATTAAATGACACAGAAACAGCAATGTACATCCCAGAGAAGCGCATCACCACCGAACAGATGGTTCCATGCCAACCTCTAGGATGAATGTACAAAGCAGATACAAAATAGCCCCCAGGATGCAGTGTTTTTATTACGACAAGATACACTTCTGAATACACAGCTTTAGTATAACTGTATGAAGAACAACAAGAACTAAATTCGTCTGGAAATAAGTGGTGGCTAGGAATGGACAGAGGAGTTCTGAGGAGTATAAATACAATTTGCGTTTAGGCTTGGGTATGTTGTTTATTGTAATCTCTTTTAATGCCATCAATAAATATAGCAAGCCTGAAACAGAATGTGTCCTGTCTTTATGCCACTTGTTTTAGCTGCTTGACACTCCTTAACATGCTCATAAACAAGATTCTTCAATAGTTATTCTCAGAAGCAATGACCAGAAAGACACATCTCCCCTACGCACTTTCTGTTAAAAAAAAAGAGCACGTGTTGTTATTTTTAAGAGACTTAACATATCTATCTGCTTAGGGCACCTTTTTGTTTTAAAAGGTTTTACCTGAAGCATGCTATAGATTTAGCGACGAGCCGTTAGCAGCTGCTTGGTGACATTGACAAGAGCATCACAGTTTCACAGTGAAGTCCCAAGCTTTCATGTTTTCCTATCAATTTTATATAACAGAATTGCCTTAAGTATACTTCCTGGCCATGCTTGAACATTGCCCATGACATTAAAACATCAGAGTTGTGAAGATGGAGTGCAGGGTGAGGCAGAAGAGAATGAAGTTCTCCTGAAAATATATCACACTGTAGGGATGATTGTTTGTCAGATCTGCTGAGGACAGGACTCAATGGGTGTGCACAGAAAGAGAGACCAGAGGGCATCTTCACAAACTGGATTGTAAGAACAGCTTAACAATGAAGCAAGCAGCTTCACATGGCTGCAGAAGATGTTCTCTCAAATAACAGAGTTAAAACATGGACAAGGATCTGTCACAAATGTGCTAACTAGGGCAGGAGACAAGCCTAAGAGTAGTTTACATGCATTCTCCCATTTATACAGAAGGCCCTATGTTCAATAAGCCCTGACATGTTTGGTGAAATGATAGCAGACAGCAGAACCAGCCTGAGCATGTAAAAATCAACACCACTGGCTAGATGGTGGCAAACCCACTCAATATAAAGCAATATTCCTTTAGAGCAGAGTTGGGTCATCATGGGTGACCCCATCCAACAGCATGACTCTGTGAAAGCTTCTTTGAAGCTTTTGGCTTTGCTTAAGTCTTGACCACAATATTAACTTTAGGTTACCACTGACAATCCAAATAATGCAAAGTACCTCTTCTATTTTCTTCTGCATGACCTTCCATTGACATTCCCACTCCTTCCTTTCATTGTCAAAACGCTCCAGAAGTTCCGTTTTTTCTTGATTCCAGTTCCTCTCAGTTGTGGTCTCCAATTGTGTCTGTAAGTCCATAGTTGCAGTCTCTAGGTTCCTTTTCTCTCTTTTTATTCTTTCTTGGAATGTGGGAGTTATTAAATCAAGAGAAACTTTAGCGGTCTTGGGCTCCAGCTTTAGGGTTGGAGGGAAAAAACCAGAACAGGCAGATTGATTATCAATAGATATCATTTACACTAAAGACTGGTTGCACAATATATTCTTACACAGTTTTTTTAAAAAAGTCCAATACAAGACATCTTGGTAAAATGGAAATGAAAGAAATTTAAAATGTATGCAAAGAGAGACTTCTATACCTACTGCTGTTCCATCACATGTATTTATTTATTGTACTTCTGGACTACCCCACAACTAGTGCTCCATGTAGCAATTCACATGTTAAAAATAAACATTTGCTGCAGTGGCATCATGTGCTCACAGAATTTACTGTTTAATATATACAGTACTTTGGGGAATAAATGGAAATAAAATATGAAAAATGCTGATAAACTATATTCTTGGTCATTTTACAAGGTTTTGGGGAAATGTTCTGAATGCATAATCTATGCACCACAGGCATTGTTGGCACATGATTTGGACAGCTGCATTAATGAAGAAGTGCAGAATACTGGTGAGTAATTCATCAACAGGAGCAAAAACATTTCTTGCAGAAAAGGTGAAGTGTAGTAAAGGAATGATGGCACAGAAAGATATGAGATATAATGATAGTGGCTAATCTAATCGCTACGATTAAGAAATTGTTCAATAAGCAAACTATGATAAATTTTATAAATGTATTTTATTGGAATAGAAATAATCCTCACAAAAATACAGGCATACTGATTGGTGCTGTATAAATATGTCCTTAGTACTTAAGAACTCAAGCACATATATTCCGTCTGCTTTTGTAATGTTGATATTGAAGGTATTCATTCTTTTACTTTGAATATATATATATATATAATTTGCTATATTAAAAATATACCAAAGAAAACTGTTAAGAAGGTCATCAGTGAACTATTCTCCCCTGACTTTATCAAACAGCATATATATTAAGAAGGAACAAAGCATACAGATAAGTAGGTAGCAAAAAGGCAGATGAGAAGTACGTGTCCAAACTTAAACTCTCTTCGGGCTCACGGTGCCCAATGTTGCCAAGTAACGGAAGGGTGCTGCAGATTGCTGAGCCACTTCTGTCCTTCCCAAAGTGTCTGGCAGTGGAAACGAAAGCCTTGACAACCTCGCAAGACCTAAGACACTGCCTCACGTCCTGCTTTCTCACACTTTGTTGACAAGACAGCCCTGGAGAATCTAAAGATAGCAAGTTCGCTAAGGAGGATGATTTTACACTGATGCAATCATTCTCTCCATTCTCTTCCAAACAAACATATATAGATACTACAGGAAAAACTACAGCCGTGGTAGGATGATTTCGATTTTGCAGTCTTCTAAAAAACATGACTCTCCATAGTTTACCCACCTGTATGTATTAACTGTATGAAACAGAAGTGGAAAATCAGGTGTGCCTAATGTATTTAAGTTAGTAACAACCGTATATAATACTAAAAAGTTCAATGAATACAATGCCATAAAACATAAGCAACACCACACTACATTTGATGCAGCAAGGTACTGTACAACAATCCATTTTAAACCCACCCACCCCACACACTTGGAAGCCATTCACTCAGGGAAAGCTTGCCTGAAGAGAAAGTTCTTCGCCTGCTTGCAGAAAGACAGTAAAGATGGGGCCAGAGTAGCCTCCTGTGGGAGGGATCCAAATGAGATCTCCTAAAAGGCACTGAGTGCAACTGGAAGCTGAACAGTGGGCAATTGTAATTTCACTTTCTAAATGAGGGAAGAGAACTTTGTGGGACTGATGTTCTGGGACTGCAACTCCCTCTGTGTCTCACCATTAGTTTCCCCCACCCCCAGTTTCAATTAAGGACCATATGTTTAGGGTTGGAGCATGGAAGAAAGCGACAAGAGTGCATTTCTCTCTTTTTAGAGACTAAACAATATTCTACTCTGCTGTTGTGCCATCCCAAAATTCACATGATACTACACTTCCTGATGGTTCACCTAGTGCCTGCTCATGCAACTTGGCATGGGCCATAAATATGGAGGAGAGGAATGAGGGTCACAGCCACTGGCCCTGCCTAGCCCTTATATATTCCACAGACATTGCGAGCAGATGTTATTAATGCACTGTTACAAATATAGGCATGACCAAAGTCTGTTCAAAAAACAGGGCTGGGCAACTTGTGACACTCCAGATGTTGTCTGCAACTCATAAGACAGGTTCTTATATTAATTTTTGTTCCGAAAAACGCTTATTTTCAGGGGATTTTTTTTTTCATGAACAACAATCTATGCTTATTCAAATACAGTGATGTTATCTTATTCTGGTTGCTGCACAATAGTGCAGGGTGGTGTTTCACTTAGCTGGAGCTTATTTGGGGGGCAGGTCTTATATTACAAGCATCCTGGAAAATCATACTAGGGCTTATTTTCAGGTTAAGTCTTATTTTAGGGGAAATAGGGTATGTATGTACGTACGTACGTACGTACGTACGTACATACATACCCTATTTCCCCTAAAATAAGACTTAACCTGAAAATAAGCCCTAGTATGATTTTCCAGGATGCTTGTAATATAAGACCTGCCCCCCAAATAAGCTCCAGCTAAGTGAAACACCACCCTGCACTATTGTGCAGCAACCAGAATAAGATAACATCACTGTATTTGAATAAGCATAGATTGTTGTTCATGAAAAAAAAAATCCCCTGAAAATAAGCGTTTTTCGGAACAAAAATTAATATAAGAACCTGTCTTATTTGGGGGAAGACAGGGTACATACATACGTACGTACATACATAGAATTTATATCCCACTTCCATTAGTGTCACAGCACTACTATGGGTAGGTTACAACTCATAAAATGGGGGTGGGGAGGAGATAAAAATAGAGATATTAAAACGAATAGCAAGAATCCTAAAAAAAACAACAACCCCAAATGGTACCAACTAATCCAGAGCTGATGGATGAAAAGAGGGGAGGGAAGAAGAGGAGGGGAAAGAAACGGGAGGGGGGGAAGTGGTCAGCTGCCTCTCTGAAAAGCAATATCTTTTAACTGCTTCCTAAAAGTCTACAGGGAGGGGGCTAGGCAGAGCTCCTCTGGAAGCTGGTTCCATCAAGTTGGAGGAACTGCAAAGAAGGCCCTACCTCTTGTAGATGATTTATAGACCTCCCTCAGTGTGGCCATCCTTGGGAGCATCGACCAGTATGACCTTGTGGGTCGGGCAGATGACATTAAGGAGAGGTGCTCCAACAAGTAACTATGGAGGGCTTTGTATGTGAGTCTCGAAACCTTGAACCTGATCTGGGATGCCACGGACAACCAGTGGAGGTGAGCCAGAACTGGAGTGATGTGGTCAAATTTACTTGCACCAATCACCAGTCTAGCTGCCACGTTCTGGAACTGCTGAAGCCTCTGGATCAGGTTCAAGCTGGTTGAAGGCTGATCTGGCTGGGACTCCCAAGAAAGAGCTAGGTCTAGAAGAACACATTTGGTCCCTAAACTGGAAGGGAATACCATCCAACCTAGGGACCAACCCCCCCCATACCTATCAGAGCCCCACCACCATCACCGGAAGCAGAAACTCTGTTTTGTACAGATTCAATTTGAGCTTATTAGTCCTGGCCCATTCCAATACTGCAACCAGGCAATGCTCCAGTACCCATTAACTGTGCTTGATGGGTACTGAAGCCCCACAAACATCTGGAGGATGACAAGTTGCCCACCATACTTTATTGAATGCATATTGGTTGAGAGTGGGAGTGATCCCAACCTACCCCCTATTCACTGTTCATGCCATATTGTGACAGGAGGATAGAATCAATCACTTCCAGCAACTATGGACAATCCTTGAGCTCATATGACTAAATCTCTGGCACATACACATATAGCCTTCTTTCTGAAACACATCAGCCTGGTCTTCTCAACGGTAGACTATGTTTCCCTAAAGAACAGTATAGTCCCTGTTATAGTGGGTAAATCAGAGAAAGAAAACTTAATTCTGCCTCCCTGCCCTCCATCTTCAAGAGTCTGAGAATACCCAAGAACTTTTAATGTAGCCTTAGAAAATGAGTTAAACTAGATGATGTTAAGGGTTTCCTTCTCCATTTACGGTGGTATTGAACGACAACAGAAACTAAGTGAGACCTGTCATTGAAAGTTGAACTGACAGTTCACAATATCTAGTTGTTGCATAGACTTACATGTTATCCCATAGTGCTAGAGCACTCTCTGGGCAGTTTACAAAATAATTATGAAAACAGTCGCCCCCAGCAACGGACCTTGGAAGGATGGAAGGCTGAATCCACCTTGAGCTGGCTACCTGAACCAGATGAGACTGAACTCAGGTCATGAGCAGAGGCTTGAGTGGTGTACTGCAGTTTAATCACTGTGCCACAGGGCTCACTACTTTAGAGTTTATTTTCAGTGTTATCATTGTTAAGAAGTCTGGAATTCTCTCTCCTGTTTGTGAGTGCGGTGGGGAATATGAGATCTAGGTTTTTAAAATATAAAAACACTAAATAAATGAGGTTCCTTGGTGCCGTCATTCTTTCTTAAAATTCCATAGATGCCTTTGAATGGGTTACCTGACCAATGCAGTGTTTTGCTTCCTCTCTCTCCAGATTTCATCCAGATCTGACACTGGACTCTGAAGCTTCAAAGGGCTTGTTCTTTCTCCCTCCCTCAGCTTCGATTCAAACTAACTTTGGATCTAGCAAATTTCTCTCCGTTTATACCTGTCTGAAAAAATTCAAGATAATTTGATTGCAAATCAGGTTCATGGCAAATAACTGAGCTGCTGAAAGACAACATGGGATTTCTGCAGAAAAGGAGGCCATGTGGCCTGATTGTTTAAGCAAAGGCCTTGGCTTTCAGGCAGTAGCGAGCAACTGGCCAATGAAACTTCCATCACTTCCAGGGCCAAAGTTCTCCATCTGTGCCAAGACTGAAGTGACTATTGCTTTAAGAATTACAAAAAGAAAAAGAAAAAAGATCCATCTCCCCAAAACTCTACTCCTTACTAAAAGTTTCCACTTTCTGTGCCATTTTCAAAGA